TTTGGCTTCCTTCTTTTTCTGACCATTTTCCTTCACACGTTCCAAGAAGCTATTTCAGCTCTTAGAGTGCTCAATATGCTCAATACGAACATTAATCCTCTTGGCAAGATCTTGCCCTTAACCTGTTTGTTTACAGCAATGCCAACAGCATGCTGGGTGACACTGTAGACTCTTCCAGTTTTGCCATGGTAACATTTGTGTGGCATGCCTTTTTCAACAGTACCCATTCCCTTGATGTCTACAGTATCACCCTTCTTGTAGATTCACATATATGTGGCCAAAGGAACAACTCCATGTTTTCTAAAAGGTCTAGAGAACGTGTATCCGGGGCCTTTCCTCTTTCCCTTTGTGTTTGTCATTTCGGTGAATTACTGGAAGATGGCGTCTCCGGTGGAAAGGATATGATGCATTTTCACATGCATCTACCCATTAGCCCCAGCCAGGTCAAGATCTAGATACTAAGATCCCCAGCACCCCTGTCACATCCCAGGAAGTAACCACTATCCGGACCTCTTTGCTAGAACCCATTTTTTCCGGCTCCTGAACTCCAGGATGTAAGACGAGATGGATGAGAGACCTATGATTGCTGTGCCAGGGGTGTGCACCCACCCAGACTTTGGGAGATGTTTGGTGAATGGAAGCTTTGGGGTGGCTTCTGCCCCCAGAATCTCAGCCAGAGAGTGGCTTTCCTAGGAGTGCACAGCCCCTTACAGGGTATCCTGAAGGGGTGTGGTGCACCCTGCCTGTAGCAGCCCGTATAGCCTATGGCTAGGAGGAGTGAGAGTTATAAGAAATACCTGTAATGGAACACCTTGGTGAAAAGGGCGTGGAGAGAGATTTGGTTCTAACAAGCATGAGAGAGCTCCCGAGATGAGAGCATTGGTGAATTGGCAGTCTCTACACCTGTGGTGTTGAGAAGCACGAGCTCAGCCTTATATTAGGCTAGAGGAGAAGGCAGTCAAGAAGCATGCGCGTTCTGTCACGGACCCCCTGACTCTGTCTCCTCTCCTGCCTGCAGAACGCCAGCACGGCGTCTCTGCTGAAGATTACCAAGCTCTGCTAAAGACTGAGATCTATCTGGTCTAAGAAGACCTTTACTCTCGCTAAGATACTCTGTCTCTCTCTCTCCAGCTAAAGTAGATAACCCTCAGGCACCTACGAGAAACTGTTCCTGAGCTAGGTAGCTTAGTGGTCCGCGTCCGGAACCTACCTAAGCTGGGCCCGAGACCTGGCCAGTCCTGGGCCCTGACATAGTGGTGTCAGAAGCGGGATAGTGAATGCCACTGACAATTGGTGCTGTGAGCAGGATTCAGTGAACATGGACCGAGGGGGAAATAAGTTTTAGCAAAATAAGAAAAAAAAGAAATAGAAATGCTTAGAGGGAAAAGAAATATCTAAGAAAGACAGCCAACGGCGGGCCTTTCTCATTCGGTTTTTTCCTCTTCTTTCCTACATTTTCTCTTTCCAAATTCTAACTACTACTGTGGGGGAAAAGCTGGTAAAATCCTTCAGCCTCTTCTGTGAAGTGGCTGGAGAAAAACAGAAAAAAGCCTCTAAACAAGAGGGAAAGAGAAAGGCTAGACCTAGGAGATAAGAACCTTTAGTAAACAAGCCTTTAGCCTCAGGGGTGAGAAAAGCCTCCCGTAAAACAGCAAAGAGAAAAGTTTGGGAACAGGTTGCAAGAGTTTATTAAGTTAGGGAAGAGAACTTCTAACTGCCTTCCCCTAATACCTTCGCCCAATGCCAGCAGGAAGCAGCTTTTGAGAGACCGACGCCCCGATTCCCTTTCTGGCAGTTAAGAGTTCTGTTTAAAAAGAAAAGAATTGAGGTAGATTGAGGCTGGTGAAGAAATAGTGGAAGTAAAGTTTTATAAAACAACGAAGACTCCAGAGTAAAAAGAAACAGCTAAAGAGCTCCTGTCTCTTTAAGGCAGCCAAAGGTTCTAAGAATTGAAAAGGAAAGATTGTAAAAAGTAAAAGGCCAAAGGAAAAAAGCCAGTAGAGAAAAATCATGGCAAATGAGATACAGCAGTTGAAATACAGTTGAGACATCAGATGAATCTTATAGTAGAAGCAGGTAAATGCTATATTGACATCTCAAATTGGGCAGCTGGAAGATCAGAGGGTAAATCCCCCAGTTAACATCAAATACCATAAATGTGGGAAGCTAGGCCGTAAGAGAAAAGTGTTTAAAAGGGAAAAGAACGTTGAATGCTAAAAAAAGAACAAAGAGCATGTAAACCTCCAGGTGTATGTCCCAAGTATAAAAAAAGCTTTCATTGGGCCAAACAAATGCCATTATCAACTTGATAGAAGATGGAACACCTTTATTGTAGGGAAATTATCAGTTGGGCTAGAATCAGGACCCACTGGTAAATGAAAGAAAAAAGTTTAATATTTTCATTTCAAACCATTCTCAGAAAAAACAGTATAATTCAATTCTATGCCGTGGGAGCACTCTGCCAGCTTGGTTAGACCTGTGGTGCCTTAGTATAAAAAAGGAAATTAAACCAGACCAATGGATCACAATGGATAATAATTAGACTAAATATGTTTGTGGAATATTAGGTTATCCTGCGTGGTGAAGGGGTAACCGACCTCTCATCAGTGTCTGTGCACTACAACCGGGTCCAGCTAAGGAGACTGGAC